ACATGTTTCAGACCTTTTGGAGTTAGTTAGACCAAAAAAAAAAGAAAAATAAATAAAAAATATTTGGGGTGTTCAGGCTTCCTGAAGGTAATACTTAGGTTATGGGGCTAGGCTAAGGTTTAAGGTTTTTGGCGTTAGGGTTAAAATCACTGTCCAAAACCTTTATTGGAACTTTTTTCCAACCTTTTGGAGTTAGTTAGACCAAAAAAAAAACGAAAAATAAAAAAAAATGTTTGGGGTGTAAAGGCTTCCTGAAGGTAATTCCCGGGTATTAGGTTCCGGGGCTAGGGAAAGGTTTAAGCTTTTTGGCATTAGGGTTAAAATCACTGACCAAAACCTTTGTAGGAACAAGTTTTAGACCTTTTGGAGTTAGATACACCAAAAACAAATTTAAAATGAAAAAAAAATTGGGTTTTCGGGCTTCCTGAAGGTAATACCCGGGTATTAGCTTATGGGGCTATGGTAAGGTTTAAGGTTTTTGGCGTTAGGGTTAAAATCACTGTCCAATATTTTTTAAGGAACATGTTTCAGACCTTTTGGAGTTAATAAGACCAAAAAAAAAACGAATAATGAAAAAAAAATGTTTGGGGTGTTCAGGCTTCCTGAAGGTAATACCCGGGTATTAGGTTACGGGGCTAGGGAAAGGTATAAGTTTTTTGGCATTAGGTTTAAAATCACTGTCCAAAACCTTTGTAGGAACTCTTTTCCAACCTTTTGGAGTTAGTTAGACCAAAAAAAAAACGAAAAATAAAAAAAAATGTTTGGGGTGTAAAGGCTTCCTGAAGGTAATTCCCGGGTATTAGGTTCCGGGGCTAGGGAAAGGTTTAAGCTTTTTGGCATTAGGGTTAAAATCACTGACCAAAACCTTTGTAGGAACAAGTTTTAGACCTTTTGGAGTTAGATACACCAAAAACAAATTTAAAATGAAAAAAAAATTGGGTTTTCGGGCTTCCTGAAGGTAATACCCGGGTATTAGCTTATGGGGCTATGGTAAGGTTTAAGGTTTTTGGCGTTAGGGTTAAAATCACTGTCCAATATTTTTTAAGGAACATGTTTCAGACCTTTTGGAGTTAGTAAGACCAAAAAAAAAAAGAAAAATAAATGAAAAATATTTGGGGTGTTCAGGCTTCCTGAAGGTAATACCCCGGTATTAGGTTATGGGGCTAGGCAAAGGTTTAAGGTTATTGGTGTTTTTTGCGTTAGGGTTAAAATCACTTTCCAAAACCTTTTTAGGAACATGTTTCAGACCTTTTAGAGTTAGGCTAGACCAAAAAAAAAAAACGAAAAAGTCAAAAAAAATGTTTAGGGTGTTAGGGCTTCCTTTAGGTAATACACAGGCATTAGGTTACGGGGTCAGGGTAAAGTTTAAGGTTTTTGAGGTAAGGGTTAAAATCACTGTCCAAGACCTCTTTAGGAACATGTTTCAGACCTTTTGAAGTTAGTTAGACCAATAAAAAAAACGATAAATGAAAGAATATATATATATGGGGTGTTAGGGCTTCCTTTATATAATACCCGAGTTGTTGGGTTACGGGGGTTAGGGAAAGGTTCAAGGCTTTTTGGGTTAGGGTTAAAATCACTGTCCAAGACTTATTGAGCAACATGTTTCGGACCTTTTGGAGCTAGTTTGACCAAAAAAAACAGATAAATGTCAAAAAAAATTTGGGGGGGTGTTAGGGCTTCGATTAGGTAATACCTAGTTATTAGGTTACAGGGCTAGGGTAAGGTTTAAGGTTTTTGGGGTTAGGGTTAAAATCACTGTCCAAGACATTTTAGGAACATGGTTCAGGCCTCTTGGAGTTAGACAAAAAAAAAAACGAAAAAAGGAAAAAAAATTTTTTGGATTGTTATGGCTTTCTTTAGGTAATACCCGGGTTTTGGGTTATGGGGCTAGAGCAAGGTTAAAGTTTTTTGGGGTTTGGTTTAAAATCCCTGTCCAAGACCTTTTTAGGAACATGTTTCAGACCTTTTGGAGTTAGTCAGACCAAAAAAAAAGAAACGAAAAATGAAAAATAATACACTCACCGGCCACTTTATTAGGTAAACCATGCTAGTAACGGGTTGGACCCCCTTTTGCCTTCAGAACTGCCTCAATTCTTCGTGGCATAGATTCAACAAGGTGCTGGAAGCATTCCTCAGAGAGCTTGGTCCATATTGACATGATGGCATCACACAGTTGCCGAAGATTTGTCGGCTGCACATCCATGATGCGAATCTCCCGTTCCACCACATCCCAAAGATGCTCTATTGGATTGAGATCTGGTGACTGTGGAGGCCATTTGAGTACAGTGAACTCATTGTCATGTTCAAGAAACCAGTCTGAGATGATTCCAGCTTTATGACATGGCGCATTATCCTGCTGAAAGTAGCCATCAGAAGTTGGGTACATTGTGGTCATAAAGGGATGGACATGGTCAGCAACAATACTCAGGTAGGCTGTGGCGTTGCAACAATGCTCAATTGGTACCAAGGGGCCCAAAGAGTGCCAAGAAAATATTCCCCACACCATGACACCACCACCACCAGCCTGAACCGTTGATACAAGGCAGGATGGATCCATGCTTTCATGTTGTTGACGCCAAATTCTGACCCTACCATCCGAATGTCGCAGCAGAAATCGAGACTCATCAGACCAGGCAACGTTTTTCCAATCTTCTATTGTCCAATTTCGGTGAGCTTGTGCAAATTGTAGCCTCAGTTTCCTGTTCTTAGCTGAAAGGAGTGGCACCCGGTGTGGTCTTCTGCTGCTGTAGCCCATCTGCCTCAAAGTTCGACGTACTGTGCGTTCAGAGATGCTCTTCTGCCTACCTTGGTTGTAACAGGTGGTTATTTGAGTCACTGTTGCCTTTCTATCAGCTCGAACCAGTCTGGCCATTCTCCTCTGACCTCTGGCATCAACAAGGCATTTCCGCCCACAGAACTGCCGCTCACTGGATATTTTTTCTTTTTCGGACCATTCTCTGTAAACCCTAGAGATGGTTGTGCGTGAAAATCCCAGTAGATCAGCAGTTTCTGAAATACTCAGACCAGCCCTTCTGGCACCAACAACCATGCCACGTTCAAAGTCACTCAAATCACCTTTCTTCCCCATACTGATGCTCGGTTTGAACTGCAGGAGATTGTCTTGACCATGTCTACATGCCTAAAAGCACTAAGTTGCCGCCATGTGATTGGCTGATTAGAAATTAAGTGTTAACGAGCAGTTGGACAGGTGTACCTAATAAAGTGGCCGGTGAGTGTATATATGGGGTGTTAGGGCTTCCTTTATATTGGGTTACAGGGCTAGGGTAAGGTTTAAGGTTTTTGTCATTAGGGTTAAAATAACTGTCCAAGACCTTTTTAGGAACTTGTTTCCAACCATTTGGAGTTAGTTAAACCAAAAAAAACATAAAATGAAAAAAAAAATGTTTGGGTTGTTAGGGTTTCTTTTAGGTAATACCCAGGTATTGGGTTACGGGGGTTAGGGTGATTCAAGGTTTTTGGGGTTAGGGTTAAAATCACTGTCCAAGACTTTTTAGGAACATGTTTCAGACCTCTTGGAGTTAAACAAAATAAAAACGAAAAATGGAAAAAAATTTTTTGGGATTGTTATGGCTTCCTTTAGGTAATACCTGGGTTTTGGGTTAAGGGGCTAGAGCAAGGTTAAAGGTTTTTGGGGTTTGGGTTAAAATCCCTGTCCAAGACCTTTTTAGGAACATGTTTCAGACCTTTTGGAGTTAGACCAAAAATAAAACGAAAAATGCAAAAAAATATATATGGGGTGTTAGGGCTTCCTTTATATTGAGTCACGTGGCTAGGGTAAGGTTTAAGGTTTTTTGGGTTAGGCTTAAAATCACTCTCCAAGACCTTTTTAGGAACATGCTTTAGATCTTTTGGAGTTAATTAGACCAAAAAAAATGAAAAAAGGCAAAAAAAATGTTTTGGGTTGTTCGGGCTTCCTTTTGGTAATACCCGCTGGGTATTGGGTTACGAGGCTAGGGTAAGGTTTAAGGTTTTTGGGGTTAGGCTTAAAATCACTGTCCAAGACCTTTTTAGAAACATGTTTCAGAACTTTTGGAGTTAGATAGACCAAAAAAATAACAAAAAATTAAAAAATTTTTTTTTTTTTTTTTTTTTTTTTTTTAGGGCTTTCTTTAGGTAATACCCGGGTATTGGATTACGGGGCTAGGTTTAGAGTCAGGGTTTTGGGATAAGGGTTAAATCACTGTCCAAAAACCTTTGAGGAACATGTTTCAAACCCTTTGGAGATTGTTAGAACAAAAAAAGAAAAATGTCAATTTTTTTTCTTTTTTGGTGTAAGGGCTTCCTTCAAGTAACACCCGGGTATTGGGTTACAGGGCTTAGGTTAGATTTACAGGGTCAGTGTTAAAATCACTGTCCAAAAACCTTTGAGGAACATGTTTCAAACCTTTTGGAGTTTGTTAGAACAAAAAAAAAGAAAAATGTCAATTTTTTTTTTTGGTTTGGGCTTCCTTTAAGTAACACCTGTGTATTGGGTTACAGGGCTAAGGTTAGGGATATGGAGTTAGGGTTCAAATCACTGTCCTAGAGCTTTTTAGGATTTTTCAGACATTTTGGAGTTAGTTAGAGCAAAAAACCCAAAAAATAAAAAAATTGGGGGGTTTTAGGGCCTTCTTCCGGTAACACCGGGGTATTAGGTTACAGGGCTAGGGTAAGGTTTAAGGTTTCGGGGTTAGGGTTAAAATCACTGTCCAAGACCTTTTTAGGAACATGTTTCAGACCTTTTGGAGTTAGTTAGACAAAAAAAAAAAACGAAAAATGTCAAAAAAATTTTGGGGGTGTTAGTGCTTCCTTTAGTTAATACCCGGGTATTGGGTTACAGGGCTAGGGTTAGGTATAGAGTTTTGGGATTAGGGTAACCTTTGAGGAACATGTTTCAAACCTTTTGGACTTTGTTAGAACAAAAAAAAAGGAAAAATTGCAAAAAAAATGTTTTGGGGGGTGTTAGGGCTTCCTTTAGGTAATAGCCGGGTATTGGGTTACGGGGCTAAGGGTGGGAGTGCAGGGGCCCTATGGAGGGCCGGGTAAATGGGGTGTGCAGGGGCCAGAGGGAGGGCTGGGTCTCCAAGGTTTTCAGGGGCCTGAGGAAGATCCTGGGGCCGGGGAGGGGGTTGCTGGAGAACAGGGTATTGGGTGACAGGGCTAGGGTTAGGGTTATGGGGTTAGGGTAAATAATCACCGTCCTAGACCTTTTAAGGAATATGTCAAAACTTTTGGAGTTCATTAGAACAAACAAAAGAGGAAAAATGTCAATCTTTTTTGGGGGGTTACCGGGCTTCCTTTGTGTAACACCTGGGTATCGAGTTATAGTGCTAAAGTTATGATTATAGGGTCAGGGTTAAAATCACTGACCAGAACCTTAATAGGAGCATGTTTCAGACCCTTTGGAGTAAGTTAGAACAGAAAAAAGGAAAAATGTCAAAAAAATTTGGGGGGGGGGGTTAGGGCTTCTTTTAAATAGCACCCGGGTATTGGGTTACAGGGCTGAGGTTAGGGATATGGAGTTAGGGTTAAAATCACTGTCCAGGACCTTTTTAGGAGCATGTTTCAGACCTTTTGGAGTTGGTTAGAACAAAAAAAGGAGCAATGTCAAATATGTCAAGAGTAATAGTTGTCCTGTCCTGAAGACAATCAGTCGGTTCCTCACTAAGTACTGTGTTCTGTTTGGGCACTTTTGTTCAAAACCAAAAGCAGAGCCCAGTACAGTTTAGAGTGAAGGTTTAAAGGGAGGTATTGTTTTGACCTTTGACCTGTGGTTGTAGAATCGCTGTGTGCAGTTATTAGTGTTTGAGTTGACAGCATCACTGGAGTTAAAGGCAGGAGAAGAAGAGGCCTTAGAGGGGACCTGCCACCAAAATTTCATACCCATTTTTATCATTTTTTCATAATCCTTGATGTCCTCTGATCATGTTTGCAACATAATTTTAGCTGAAAAGTTATTTGATAGTTTGTTTTAGTATGCCTAAAAAACCTCACAGGAAAACCAACTGGTTTACTCGTTCCTTTATTTTAAACCTTTACAGAATGCAAACGACGTAATGGTTTGTTTTCACATTTACAACATAAGACGAACATAATATGGACCTTATCTGACACACAAAAAAACCAAAAATTACATTTTTATGGCAGGTCCCCTTTAAGAAAAAACAAACAAAATCCCCTTTACTTTAACTTTGTAATCAATACAAAAATCCTGTGCGAACAGTAATACTGTGCTTTTCTATGTTGGTCAAAAAGGATTGTTGTTAAGGGGCAAGGAAATACACTGTTTCCTCAGGGAAAGTTCAAAGCTGCAGTTAGGGTGAACTGATGATCTGAATGTGATGACATTTGCTGCAGCTTGCTTCACAGGACTGCAGGACTTGTAGGATCACCATCAGCACTGGCTACACTGGAAATATTTCTGTCCAGAGCCACTTCACCAGGTCTGCATGCAGCAAAGTTTCCTCACACAGAGAGGCTTTGGATGGCTGCATGATGTCCACCTTTAGTGCTTTCAGATGTCTGAGTGTCTGAGCTGTTCTTCCGCTCTTAACGTCAATTGGCTTGAAGAAGACCTGAGGGAAATCACTGATGTTAAAGATGATGATATGCAAAGGCAAGCTTCACAGGAAACCATCTGCGTACCACTCCTTTCTGTTGCAGAGCTTCCACAGAGCTCTCGATGTACACAAGATTGTCTCCTCTCGTACGATAGCTCCTGCCAGCTGTTTCATCATCCATCCTGAGACTAAGCATAGTGATAAGAGCAGAGCCATTGTTTTCAGAGCTTATGAGACAGCCAATTGTAGCAAATGATCCGTTCACCAATCCTTGAGACACATCTATGTTTCTGATGAGCATGACTCTAGCACCAACTGCAACATCTGGTGTGTCAGGTAGATCATTTCTGCTTCCATGACATGGTGCACCTTGTCTTTTCATGAGTGCAATCTGTGGGTTTTTTTAAAAGTCATCTGCATCAATGGTGATGATATCAGAATGGAGCACAGATAGTGTAGCAGAGTTGTGTGCTGTGACTTGTTTGTTTGTAGCAAAAATGTGCAGGACATCAGAGGGACACAGTTGTGGTTCAGTGACACACTGTGACAGCAGAGCTCTGTCAGTTTCAGAAAACTCATCTGACCTTGTTTTCACACGGAGTCTGTTCAGCATGTCAGCAAAAGTTTTGTCATCCTTTTGTTGCATGATCTCATCTAAAGTGATCACCTGGAAGTTGACTCTCCAGAGGTCAAGCTCACTTGGATCATAGACACAGAGTGGTTTGGACTGTCGTATAGGTGGTAGCTGGTAAAAGTCTCCCACAGCAATGACTGACATTCTTCCAAAGGGTCTTTGGCTGCCTTTAATCTGTTTCAGTCTCATGTCCACATAGGCAAACAGAGGCTTCGACACCATGGAGATTTCATCAATGATTATGATTTCAGCATTTAAAAGCTCACACCTGATTTCATCAAGTTGGTTCCCAAGACCTTGAAAAGGAGGTTTCAAACTTCTGGGCAGCTTGAGAAGAGAGTGCAGTGTTGTTCCAGAGATGTTAAAGGCTGCAGTTCCAGTGAAAGCAGTCAACAGCACAGTCGGGTTTGAGATGTCAGCTTCCTCTGCCCGTCAAGGTAGTGTTCTCAGTATCTTTGATGCCTCTGAATGAATGCATTTAATGAGATGTGACTTTCCAGTGCCAGCACCACCATTGATGTAGTAGAAAAATTGCTCTGGTTGTAGTCCACAGACTCGTTTTATGCACCAGTCTCTCACTGCATAGAACACACATGCCTGTTTCTGGTTCAGACTCTGATAACCGTGTGGGATCGATTGTAGGGGGGCTCTCTCATGACTCTGGCCTCTGTAGCAGCATTAGCTTGTCTACTGTAATCAGGTACATCCTCTTGGACATTTTCACACTGTCGGGCATCCAGTTCATCGATGCACTCCAACCTCACCAGTTCAGATTCAGGTGCCAAATTACACCATTCATCGACCATACCTCTGTTCTGTTCAAAGTCCTCGAGAGCAGAGTCAATTTCCTCACTGTTTTTTTCATATCTGTCTCTGTTTCTTTTCACAATGAGTTTTACACGCAGGGGTCGGTCAGAATACGGCAGCTGAACCACACCTCTCTCATAGAATGACTCATACGTGGGTTGATATGGTCTTTTAAGCTCATCGTCCGATCTGTATGGAAGATACAGTCTAAGAAATGTGCCATAAAACTGCTCAGGGTATTTCTCTTTCGATATGCGGCAATACCTGATGACAGCACCTTTGTCACTTTTTTGTCTCTGTACAAAGCCTAGTTCATTCAGCAAAGGTACCACTTTTTTGCCCTTGGTCTGTTTACCATACACCAGTCTGAAGGTAAATATAAAATCAGCCATGCACATCTTTTCAAACTCTGCTGTTTCAGGTCTGGGTTTGTACTTGTCTGTTAAGGATGTCATCCACACATTCAAGCTGTCACATTCAAACCACACTGCGTGAACTCTTTTTCATGTTCAGTGAAGTCACTCGGGCAACAGCTTCTTGTGCTGATACCTCATGCTTTTTGGAATACGTCTACATGACCGCTTTCATTTCATCACATTCATTGACACATTCTCTGTCGGAGTTCTGAATGAGTGTTTGCAGGTACTGGCTCACAGAGTTCTCACTTTTATACATGTACATACATATGTAATGGATCAGACTGTAGTAGCTGAGAATGAACAGCACATCAGTGTTTGCATCCCAAGCTTTGAGCAGGTGAGGGTTGTAGGTATTTACCCAGCAGTCTTTTGGCTCACGCTTCAGAATGATGTTGCTGGACTGACTCATCACATGCATGTGTTTCTCATACTCATCTGTGGTTAGGTCACAGACAGACAGACAGGAGCTGTTGAAAACTCAAAGATTCAGTTTGTGTCTCATTCAGCAGCTGATTCAGTGGTGCAAGTTTCTCTTTGGCTCTCTTAAGTCTCTCTGACTCCTCATCATCATCCACAGGTCTTGTTATCATTGTCTGTCTGGAGGATGGTTTTGGGAATCAAAAACGGCATCCTGAACTAGCACTTTTGAAACATGTCTTTGAGTGGTTCTTACTGTATATTTGCACTTCTTTGACCTTTTTGTACAGTTTAAGCTCTTTATTTGTGTCAGGGAGCTGAGCAGAGATGAATTTGGACACAAGTCACACACAGTTTTATCAGAGTCTCTCTCAAACACAGGTGCACCTTCTACCCACAAAAGACCATGTATATGAGGACTTCCTCTGTGTTGAAACTCGAGATGCCAAAAGAAGTCATAAACTTTGCCCAGGGGTTGTGCAGGAGACATGATCAGATCTCTGTACAGTTCTTCAACACGCTTATCAAACATGCGCATCATTGTCACAGGATTGCTTCTCAGAATGTAACACTTTGTGGACCAGTTAAGCTCCTCAAAAATCACTTCCTCATCTTGTTGTGAATTTATTGCTATAATCACCTCAGGCCAACGCATCTCTGCAGCAGAAAATGTGATAAAGAAAGTAGGACTGCCCAACTGTCTGATCATAGCAAACAGATCTTTTGTAATTTTGTCCCAGTAGGGTGGTGTTCCTCTGAGTGGCTGCATAAATCTGATAGCATCTCTGTTTCTCACCAGTCTCTCCACTTCATATTTGTCTCTCAACATTCTGGATATTATTTTTCGTCCATCTCTGGTCAAAGGTTTCCCTTTGCATAACTGTATGGACATGCTGGAGGTAGCCAAGTGTATTTCAGTCACAAACTGCAAAGAAAAGGTAGTTTGTATCTCTGGCAAAGCGGTCATCAACATCAAAGAGCCTTGCTTTGAAATAACCACTGGGTGATAATTTCATGGGTCTGTTTTCATCCAGTGTATTCTTACCAGTGGGAAACTGAACAGGAAACGCCATGGCCTCTAGTTTAGGTGTTTTGAAAAAACTGACTAGACTGTTTCTCTCTGCTGGAGCGACTGAGTATGTAGATTCACTGAAACACAAAATCTCCTCAGAAACATCACGTGGCTGAAGGCACGACTCTAAAACAACACCACCATTATGCCTGTGTCTTGTTGTTGCGTCTGATCATCATTGTCCTGGGTCTGACTTTTATTACACAGCTCTGTGTTCTCATCCTCATTTTCAACATTAGTTTCAGCCTCATACATGGCAGCAGCCTCAATTCTATCAATTTCCATCAAATCCTCATCATCATAGTCATCATCATTCATTGTAATATCATTACCATCATCATCATCCTCATCAACATCATCAGGAAGTGTGGGGTCACATAACTCCTCCTCATCTCTAATAGTAATATCTTCATACTGGGGGTGTATCTCCTTCAGTTTATGCAGAGCCTTCACTAGCTTGGACCAGGTAACAGTCTGAAACAGATGGTGACCTCTGTAACTCAAACATCTCTTCAGTTTTACTCTCATCACCTGAGACTCATTTCTCAATCTGAGTAGAGCCTGAATTGTTTCCTGGATTTCAGAGGGAACACATACAACATTACCATGTATAGCTCTCTGTCTGCCTTTGGGAAGAGGAATGATTTTGGCAAATGTTATGCACTTTGCTATCAGATGTCTCTCCAGTATGTTGAGGTCACACAGCTCAGGTGGTATGTCAGCAAGCTCCAAGTTGTTTGCTATGGCAAGTTTGGGCATGGATCCATTTTTCAGATGGTCATGGCAGGTGTGACAAATCCAATCAGTCTTTCTCTCATCAGGGACAGTGCACTTATTTCTGCAGTCATCGTTGCATGCATGGACGTACTGACCTTTGAGACAAGCTGAAACCATGATTGGCTTTTTCACATAGTTGGACCTTTTGCACTTTTGTACCTGGTTTGGAAATGAGGCTTTGTGACAAACCGTGCAAACATAGGTGGGACCAGATTTAATGTGTGATCGGAAAATATTTATGGCACTTTCAATAAGTGGGTTTTCACTCTCTCTGTCAGTCTCACATATTTGTTTACTTATCTGTTTGTATTTATTTGATATTTTCAATGCATTTAATACATAGTCCTGTATGGAAGATTTGTCTTATACCTGTCTCGCATCATTAGTCTCATCAGCTGTCTGTGTCTCTGACAGAATGTTTCATCATTTGCATATCGATAATTGACATACCATGCCGTGGTACACATACCGTGCTACCATGACAGCAGCACCAGGAGTAGGTGTGGCCTGAAGCAGAAGCAAAGCGTTAGCTGTCCGAGCATGTGGGTCAAAGAAACCGTATCTGCCTGAAAACTGCAATGCACAGTGAAGTTATCAGCAGCAAAGCATACTGCACATCTGATAATAAGCAGCTCATTCCCAACTCGAGGTCCAGAAAGGTATCAACAGTTCTGGGAAACGGATCTCCAAACGTACTGTACCTAGACAGCTGTGACATGTCAACAATCTGCGTGTGTCTGCGTGCAGGAACCAGGTCAGGGAGCTCATCGGTTGTCAGATGGGTGTGATCATGAACAGTTTTTCTGATTTCTCTGTACATCGCATTACCTTTATCCAAAACACAGTCCAGGTCTGCTCTGGTGATGTTTTCGTTCTCAAACAGGAATGCTAGAAATGTCAGTGAGTTACAGGTGCATTGCTGGTTTCTGGATCGGCCGTATTTCAGAGACGCTTGGCTGTGTGATGCACAGACGTTTTGTTCACCTGACTGATTAACAGCGTTAATATTTCTTGCCCAAGGAGAAGCTGATACAGACTGATAATTACTGTGGTTTCCCTTCTTAACAGTGTCTGCATACGATACCTGGGTTGAGCATGGCTTGTCAATTTGGGCGACATAGTTTACCTGAGGAGAGTTGGACGGACCAGCAGTATGTGACACACTAGGAAATTTTCTCTTCAACATGTCTGCATATGTTACCTGTTGTACACCTGGATCATTACTTTCACCTCTGTTGTTTACCTGTTCAGAGTTAGACGGACCTGCTGCAGGTGACTCACACATCTCTTTGGCATGTCTGCATAAGATACCTGTGGTTGACATGATGCACTTTCATCTCCCTGTTTCACAACATCAGACACTTCTGACCTCTTTACCTCTCCACTGCTCTGAGGAACACCATCTGCTTGTCCAGTACTCACACGGTCAATGTCATGAAACCTCTGCCAGCGCTGGCTTGCAATCTGTGACCGCTTACATTTCCTCGGCATTGTGGCTGTCCTTTCACAACAATGTGTTTATGCAACAATTTAAAGTTAATGATAAGCACCATTATAGACAAAAATGCTTTATTTCTTAAAGAAGGGATGTTATTTAACAGCTTTTATAGTCTCAAAAAATCTAATTTATAACTGTGTGTATGCCAACAATAGTTAATCAAATGTTTTATAAGGAAATCTTTGGCAAGACTATATAAATGTTTTAAGAAAAAACACAAACTATCAACAAATTTTAAATCTTAGATCTTTGTGCTTGAAATAATATGTAACTCAAATATTTTCTATGAAACTTTTTCTTTCAAAATAGGGTATTCAAGGGTTGCTTGAAATAATATCTAACTCAAATATTCTATATAAAACGTGTTTTTATGTTCTTTCAAAATCAGGGATGCAGATGTGGTGGTGTTGATGACACTTCTTCTGGCGAAACTCTGGATCCACAGACAGGAGAGGAGGACCTAGAACAACAATCAGACTTGTGCAAAATTAGGGATTTTTCAAAATAGCAGTTGTATTAAATGTACTTCCGTTTCAAAAGTTTTGCCTAAAAGAAAGGTTGCTTGTTTCAAAAGGTTTCTCAAAAAAGGTTCTCAAAATAGGTTCTCAAAATAGGTTCTGAAAGGCTTGTCAAAGGCTTGTGAAATGCTTGTAAAAGGCTTGTAAAACGCTTGTTCAATGAGTCAGAATGGGATAGAAGGGGGATGGAAAGACAGAGTTGCTTTTCAATCAGACAGAGCGGTAGAGGAGACAGGAAAGTCAGATCGTCCAAAACTTATCCAAAGGGATAGAGAAAAGGGGGACACAAGACAGAGTGCTTTTCAATCAGACAGAGTGGTAGAGGAGATAGGAAAGACAGAGCGACCAAAACGATAGGGGAGAGTGGGAGACTGGACAGGATACCTGTAAGACACAATGGAAACAAACAATCTCTTTTTATTAAAGAAATAAAATAAAATGAACCAACATCCACCCAAGCTAATGACATTATAATGTACTTTTACTCAACCCACTAAGTGGCTGTCCTGAATTATACATCTAACAAAAGTCAAGGTCAAAAGCTGGAAGTGACCATTGTCTTGTTCGATAATCCTTCAATCAAACTAATAAGGACTAAAAATCCAAAGTGTTCATAAGAGTTAATTAAAAATTTATTTAAGATACGAAGAACTTTATTTATCCCCTAAGGGAAATTTAATTGTCTATAGTCTCATTTGTCATGTCTCAAAAAGTCATCTGCTATTTAAATTGTTAAGTCTGATGGCTGTGGGTACAAAAGATCTTTTGAATCTTTTTGTCCTGCAGCAAAGAGAGCCGTCCACCATCATTGGCCCTTCGGTCCATCAAGGTTTTATGAAGTGGGTGATCCATGTTCTTTAGAATAGCCTCCACCTTCGTCACAGTACATCTCACCACCATCCTCCAGTGAGTCCAACTTGAACCAACCACAGAGCCACCTTTTTAAATTTAGGACCTCAAAGTATTTTACAAAAAGTTATATTATCCCTGTGTATTTTAGACTCTTTATTTTAAGTTCCCTTTATAATGTTCATAACCATGTCCTGGTAAGCAATAATAACAATGGATTACTCTGCTGATAAAATATTATGTGTTTTGGAGAATGTAATTTCCTTTACTGTGTTTTAAGTATTACAACAATTTAATAAGTAGTAATAAAGCCAAGCACCTCCTTAAGCTGTGAACAGAAGCATGCAAGGTACCTTAGAAGGATATACACATTTCTAAACATAGGATTAAATGAATGATAAAATAAATCAATGGCGGCATAGATAATGATTGTCTATTCCACATTAAGGAACATAAAATTAGCTTGTTTTTTGTTAGTAGTATCCTTTATGATGCACAAAGGAGGGAATCACATTCAATTCGTAATTATTTGGATTTTCATCATTAAAAAAATTACAACTCCACAATTCAATAGTAATAAATTGCTTTCCAATGACTGGAAATGAAATACAAATAAGTGTATTGCATATTACATTCAAGCTGTTCATTTCCAACTGTGAGTATTACATAATCAAAGGAAGCGAATTAAGTTAGGACATGATGAGGGGTCCATAATGTGTTGAATAATGGCACACTGTCTTATTCATGAAAATGTCATTCCTGTGTGAACTTACGTCGAGTCACCACAAAGCGGTCTGCACTTGGAGAGAGGACAAAGTTGGCAAAAAGGAAAATGGAAAAATAGAGACAAGAGATTTTTTGTTTGATTGTACAAAACCAGCACATCTCACTGCATTGCAGTTTCAGCTGTAATCAGTCAGCAAAATTAAATCCATTTGGTTCTGCATTAGTTTAATTAAGGACATAATGTCAGGTTTTTAGATGATGTGTTGTAAAAAGTAACAGTGTAAACATTTTTAAGTTACTTTATTTGTGAACTTACAGCTGAGTTGCCAACAGTGAACAGGGCTAGCACTAGAGATAGCATTGAGGAGTCCAGGAGGGAAAAGACAGAGGGACAAAAAATAAATAGATTTAGTTGCAAAAAAATCAGCATCTTATAGTTTACTGGAACCACAACTTTTCAGTGTGGATCATTAGTTTTCTCATTTCTTATCAAAGTCTACAATTTGTCGCACTCGATTAGTAAAAGGATGTTACTGCAGCTCCCTTGGCCTGTAAAAAATGTTTGCTAAAACGGAGAGAAAATGCACGAACACAACGAAGGACCTATCTTTACTTTCGTCTGTATGTTATTGAGGTGAAATACAAAACAGTGAAATGTCATTATAAACTACGGAGCAAAAATGTAACATTAAAGTGATTGATTAATAAGTACATATAAGTGTGAACTTACACTACAGAGTTGGTAGGGATTTTCGCCCCGGTCAGAGGACATGATGAGGCAGGAGGCGGGGGAGAGGGGGGAAAAGAGATATTTAATACATTCAGATAAGCCTCACTTCACACTTCAAAGTACTTAATCTGAATGATTTTCCCACTTAATAATTGCCAAAATCAAGATTCAGACTTTCCCTGCAAGATAAAATGTTTCAGAAAAATTAATTTAGTAGTGTAGTAATGTTGTTAGCACACTGTTTTCTACAAGGAAAAAACTGTATATTCCTTATAAAATATGCAACGGTGTTACAGATAAATCAACATTTCATATCAATTTAAACTCAGTATTTGAAAAGTGCATCATATTCTGTACATTATCTTGAATATCATGTTGTTTAACAGGATTAAGCTTAACATTAATCCAGTTATTTTTATCTTATTTGTTGTCAGTCTTGGATAAAACTCTTATACTTACCAACAAATGTACTGGAGTGGATGTATCTTCAGTTTGATTGAGACAAGAAACAATACATAAGTGTTGTCTGACAGATAGTACACAACTGCCCTTATAAAACTAACATTATTACAGTAATTGGGCTAACTGAAAACTAAAAAGCTCCAACAGATCACTTGGCTGTTAGCTGTAGCTGAAAATTTCACATAATACATACTGTATTAAAGTATTTATACCTCAGATAAAGTATCTTTGCTGTGGTGTTAGCACATCACCAATATCCAAATTAACAGCGTGTGACCAAAGGTAAATTAGGTACAGTAGAAGGTGAGGTACAACATCAGCCAGTGAGACAGAGACAGACCAGGAGCAGGTTCACCAACTTCAAGGCAGCTTACTGTGGTGTAATGCTATCCTGGCATTACAGAGTTAATATGGATGTCACGTGATGGGACGTCTGGGCATGAGACGAATAAGATATGTGCCTGAGAAATGCCCAGGAAGTCTATGCAAATGAGCCTACATGTTGAGACGCCGTACTGTTTATCTCAGGCATTATATTTTAAGTAAACGTTCTTCATTCAACCTCCTGTAGTTTTCCTTACCTCTAAAACGATAACGTAACATGGTGTCAGAAGTGGGATCGCTCTGAGCAACAGTGAGTGACTGCAGAACATGACATATGATGAGAAGAAGCGCGCACAAAGAAACATGTCAAGGGACGATGACGCACAAGGAGGCGGTGGCGCTGCAGGACCACAGCCGGTGAACGCAGCAGCCCAGCCGGCTATGACAGCGCCCCTGACGGCGACGTTCAACATCAAACCACCTGAGCCTTTCGACCTCGCGAAGCCACACAAGTGGGAGAAGTGGATAAGGAGGTTTGAATGTTTTAGACTTGCGAGCAACCTAAACTCTTCCTCGGAGGCGAATCAAGTTAATATGCTTGTATATTGCATGGGGGACGAGGCTGACGATGTGCTACGAGGGCTTGATCTGACACCTGAGCAGCGGCAGCGGTATGAAGCGGTCGAGAACGGATATGACGGGTTTTTTATCCCAAAGAAAAACGCCATATACGAACGGGCCAAATTCAACAAGATATTACAGCAGCCTTCAGAGCCAGTGGATGTATTCATCACAGCACTTCATGCACTGGCTGAAACCTGTGAGTATGGCGACCTGCATGACAAGCTCCTGAGAGACAGGATAGTGGTGGGAATTAAAGATGCATCCCTATCAGAGAGAATGCAATTAGATAGGGACCTCACCCTAGCAAAAGCCATCACAATGGCCAGACAGTCTGAGGAAATTAAGAGACAACAGACTGATCTGAGAGATCGAAGTGCAAGCAAGGCGGACATGGATGCTATGCATTTTAAGAGGGGGAAACAGAACAAATTCAAAAACAAAGATCAGGCACAGGGACAGTACAAAACTTGGAAGCATGATAAACCTGTGCAGAACAGAGCCGAAAATAAAGCATGTGGCAAATGTGGGAAATCACTCTCTCACCCAGCAACACAGTGCCCAGCCAAGAGTGCAGAATGCCGCAACTGTGGTAAACGTGGTCACTTTGGGAAAGTGTGCAGATCCAGTAAAGCGGTGCATGAAGTTGCTGAAGATGTGGATGGACTGTTCTTAGGTGCGTTGGCCTCCGGGGAGCACGACGCCCGAAAGCATGCTGAACTAGAGCGAGCAGCGAAGGCAGGTGTCACACTCAACATGTCAAAATGTGAGTTTGGAAAGAGAGAGGTCAAGTTTCTTGACTACATCATCTCAAAACCAGAGCTGTGCAGTACATGAAGGAGCCTACAAACATAAGCGAGCTCAGGAGTTTCCTGGGAATGGTGAACCAGTTAGGGAAATTTCTATCTAGAGAAGGGCAGACCACTCAGAGATTTGCTGTCAAAAAAGAACCAGTGGCGCTGGGGTCATGAACAACAGAAGGCCTTCAGCAGCCTCAAACAAGAGCTCTCCACTGCACCAGTCCTCCAGCTCTACGACCCTAACAGGCCGCTGAAAATATCAGCCGACGCCTCGTCCTATGGGCTAGGCGCAGTGATGCTCCAGAAGGACAGAGAGGTTTGGTTACCAGTAGTGTATGCTTCCAGGTCCCTGACTGACACAGAGCAGCGATATGCGCAAAGGAGGCTTTAGCGCTGACATGGGCCTGTGAGAGCTTCAGCGATTTCATCCTGGGCCTACACTTCGACTTGGAAAACTGACCACAAACCTCTTCTGAGTCTACTGGGTGGGCAGGCTCTGGACGCGCTGCCACCTAGGATACAAAGATTCAGGATGCGCTTAATGAGGTACTCCTATACAATCTCATACACACCCGGGAAGAGCCTCACAACAGCCGACACGCTCTCTCGCGCCCCACTCAAAAATGGTGTCATGCAAGCGGACAATGACCTCATGGAAGATACTAACATCTACATTGACTCTGTGCTGGACAATCTTCCCACAAGCAATGAATATCTGACAGAGCTTTGAGAGTAGTTGTCTGCAGACAGTGTCTGTGCCCAGGGGCCTCATTTATAAAACCTGGCGTAGCATCCATACTAAAAGTGTACGTAAGTTGAAAAGCTGAATAGTGCGTAGGCAAAAAAAAATCTGATTTATAAAACCCTGCCTACGCACACCTGCACGCACTTTCACTTTATAAATCACAGACCAGCCGGAAAGTTGCGCAGCAGGGATTTGATTCATGCCCCGCCCTCTCCACACCCAAAATTCACCATGTATGGTCATGTTAATTACCTCATGAATGTGATTTGCATATAAATAAGCCTGATGGATCCACGGCATTTCACGCTTAACCATGGCATCAGCAAGTCGTAGAAAAAGAAACTTTTCAGAGATCGAGGTGGAGGTTCTTGTAATTGAGGTGGCGGCGAGACGGGAGACCTTATTCGGCGGCCATTCGAGTGGCATCACCAATAAAAACGCCGTTGCCATGGCGGTAATTGTGGCTGGCACTGAGCGCAGCGTTGCCGAAACAGTGTTGTTTTCATCATATTTCGTCAAATATTTTCGTCAACGCCAGCGTCAAAAAAGGGAAATATTTTCGTCAACGAGAACAACACTGGTTGTTTTCGTTGACGAAAATATTTCCCTTTTCTTCCACGATGAAGACGTAACGTTGATGAGCTAAACATAAGTCGGAGATGACTAAAATGTGACGAGATGAAAGTGCGTTTACGTTGATGGGACGAGACGAAAAGAGTCAGAGTTGCAAAACTTAGTCAGTTAAACGCTAAACATATAGGAGCAGCTTCTGTCCTCTCTGACAGCTCTCATCAGCCTGCTGTGCTCCTCCAACACACAGACACACACACACACGCGCGCACACTAAGGGTGTGGAAAATAATCTAAATTAATCGATGCATCGATGCGCATGTGCGCGATGCGACTGCGTCGGCTCATTCACTGGGTATCGATGCAATTGACGGGATAAATCTAGATTCATCTTGATGCGTTGGTGGGTATCGGTAAAATCCGATGCAAGCGCCGTTTTATTCATGTTAAACTTCACCCCATCTGCTGTTCCCCAGGCGCAATGAATGCACCATCATTACTTCGCGTTTTGTATTGAATATGGACGGAAGCATTGAGGGACATACAATGCACTACTAGTAAAACAGCATGGACCACGTTCAAGTGAGCAGCAGCGAGGAAGAGTTTATATGTAATGCACCCGCTTTGTTTAAATCATATGTTTGGAAACACTACGGATTTGCAAAGAAAGATGGAAAGCTCGACAAAACGTCCGTCATTTGCAAAGAATGCCGCGTTAAGAAGCCGTACAACGGCAGCACGACAAACATGCAGACCCACTTAAAAAGAGTACACCACATCACCGACAAGTCTAACGCCACCTCCCCTCCCTTAACATTGATTGCACTGTTAAAAGTGTCACTTTAGGTTACTCATTGAGAGTGTTTTGTGGTTGCTGTTTACTGTACTTTTTACAGCAGTAATTATTGTGTAATTGTTTTACTCTTTTATTATTGCAGAACTCACTCAAATCACTGATTTTCATTGGCCAGTTAGAAAGTCAACTCTAGCACATTGGTTTGGCAGACAGTAGTATGGCCATTGAATGGTTTATTTGCACCATGTTAGGCAGTGCATTAGTTGTTTAATAATGTGTACTGTAATATTACCCAACAAGTATAGAGCACTTGTGTGATGTAGGGTTGGGATTAGAATCCTTTTTTTTTTTTTTTTTTTTTTTGATTTTATTGATTCAGATTCCTTAACAGTTGCAGGAGGTCTGTCTAATCTGTGTAACTGTACAAAACCCAAAGGAGCATAGAAAAAAGACAAAAAGCACTTTTGTTGAATTTACTGCCAAGTGCCTTTAAGGAATAAAGCCAAATCATTTTTGTAGTACCATACTGAATTCCATCTTTTATTTTTATTTCTTTTTTTTCTTTGCTTATTTGCATCATGTTGAATTGCATCATATCGCAACAAATTGCATCATATCGTATCGGATCGCATTGATTTGAACTAAATAATTATCGTATCGTATCGCATCATGAAGAGGGTGAATCGTATCGCATCGTATCGCCAGAAAATTCCATGTATCGTTAAAGTATCGTATCGCTGACAGTGCATCGCGATGCGTATCGAATCGTCCTCAACGCTGAGATTCACACCCCTAGCGCACACATGTGGAGTTTTGTTTTCATTGACGATGACGTTGACGAAAACAACACTGTGCCGAAATCAAGAAGAAGTGGTCTGATCTAAAGGTGGAGGCAAAGAAAAAAGTAGCTTTGCACCGTCGGAGCGTGGCGGCAACAGGTGAGGATCAGAAAAAACAAGCACGTGTGACACTCATCCATGTGTTCCAAAAAGAAACTGCTCCGTTATCCACCGCTGCTTATGTGGTGAAAGTTCGTAAACCAAAAAGATTTAGTCATATTAATCTTAAAACAAATGCATGTAAATGGAATTTGTTTTTTTGCACATTTGTAAATTCAAATTGGCAAACTATCTACACCGCCACAGTGGAGTCTGTGCTTTCTGCGAGTGTCACTGCCTGGTACAGCAGCTGCAGCTCTCAGGACAGAGAGGCCCTGCATCGAGTCATCCGTTGTGCTGAACGCATCACCCGGACTGTTCTCACCTTGCTCCGATTGTCTCCAAAAAGTGCGTAAGCAAGGTGTGGAGTTTGCTTAAAGTTGCACACATTCCTACACTAGTTTTTCTTTTATAAATCCCAACTCTTGCGTAAGAAGTGGCGTAAGCACTTTTTAGCCAGGTTTTGTGCGTAAGCAAGCTTTATAAATGAGGCCCCAGGTCATTAAGTACTGCGTCGAAGGCTGGCCAGAAAGACACCAGTTGCTGGGCCCAGTCAAACTCTACTGGCATGAGAGAGTAAAACTGAGCGTGCATAACGGACTGCTCCTGTATGGCGCAAGGTTAGTCATACCTGCTGACATGAAAAATGATGTTCTTGACAAGATTCATGTTGGCCACCAGGGGGTAGTCAAGTGCAGAGAATGTGCACGTCAGATAGTTTGGTGGCCTGGCCTGGGCAGCCAAATAAGAGGGCTGGTGCTGAACTGCAGCGTACACATCAAAGACAGAGTTAATCCCAGAGAACCTCTGCTGCCAACCAAACTTCCTGACAGGCCCTGGCAACAGCTAGGGGCAGATCTATTCACCTTAAAAGGGCAAACCCCTCTGCTGGTGGATTATTTTTCCAGATATGTGGAAATTGCACAGCTCAGCCCAACCAGATCTGCAGAAGTGATTATCCACCTTAAATTGATGTTCTCACATCATGGAATTCCCGTCCATTTTTTTTTGTGACAATGGGCCACAATTCGGGGGACACGAGATGAAACAGTTCGCAGCTGACTATGGATTTGTGCACGTGACCAGGGGCCTCATGTATCAACGCTTGCGGCGCAAGAAAACCTTGCGTACGCCAAAATCAGCGCGCACGTCCAGATTTATCATCGCGAAACGAGCGTCGGTTCCAGCGCTAATCAACGCAAAGTCAGGAGGTGGTGTAGAAATTGGCGTTGAGCTGATACTTGCATTGACTGTGATTCACACTTTGGCGACGCTGTGTGGCGGTGTTTGGTGACTCACTATGTGACAAGCGTGCACCACATCCCCGTGGCTGAGCAGCACGTCGCCCCACATGACGAACCAGCAGCAGACGGAGGGATGCGAGCTGATCCCTGCCGGGCCGCCGTCCTCGCGCGGGAGAATCTCATCGCCACAGTGTGAATGGGTAAGAGGTGAATACACAGTTCAATGAGCCAAAGTAATTTATTTTCTCCACCAGACGCTCGAGGACATTTACGAGCCGGTCCAGCCGCTCGTTGATCCCCGCGATCCCCCTGATGATTTCTTCCTGCGATTGCAGGACCCCCTCCGCGAGGACCCTTCCACTGCGTCCGGGTGGTCCAGCGGGAGCGCCGCGGCTGGTGGACGCTCCACCGCTTGTCGGCGTGCTAATGCTGGTGCTGGTGCTGGGGCCGGGGGCCGGGGTGGCCCGAATGCCGCTGGTCCTGGCCGACGACTCCGAGCCGGCGGACGGGCTGCCACGGGCCGGAGTTCCGCAAGCCGGCGACACAGCCGACACATTGATTTCTGTGACACAATAAAAATATTTGTTCATTTCAATTCCTGCTTCTGTGTATCTGTTGCGTTTACATCTCTCTCCACGGTATCATAGGTAATGTAATCCAGTATTTAGAGGTCAGTTATGCACATTACAGTTGTTTATTGCATAAAAAGTTATTGAAAAATGAAGTTATGGGCGAAGTATAAAT